AGTGTGTTATCTTTTACACTGACTTAACATAGCAATGAAAAATTTTACAGTTATTGCAACAGGCTATATAGTCCAACAACTAATTTGTTCATCTGAAATAGTCATTTACAAGATGGAAATAAAAATTAAAAGACTCATATGAAGAAAATGCCAAAGATGAAGAAAAGAAGGGGGAATGATACTAGCCAGACACCCCTGTAGCAATACACACATATCTATACAACCGATTTTTGTAACCTTCTGGCAAGAGGAACAGACCTGGTAAGGTACTGTAGGAAATGCAATTAAAACCCATAAACCAGCTTGTTCACAGACAGCACCAGCAGGGGAACAATAGATGGACTCCGGCTCCCATCAGCCCAGACAGCATAGCCATTTCATAGTCAGGCATGATGGAAGCTTTAGTTCAGCAACCTCTGGATGGCTACAGTTTTCCACTCCTGCTATAAGACGTGCCTGTCCAAGGCGTCACGCCTGGGAGAGCATTTGGCTCAGTTGAAGTGATCTGGCACTGGAAGCTCACCTTTGCAGATTCCAATATGAACAGACTAGTAGTGCCTGGACCAACACGCAAACTGGAAATTAGGCATCCATCAGCCTTCATGTGTCCCCAACATTCCAATACAGGTTTTGACTCCAAAACATGGAAAAGAACTAACCTCAAGTGTTTCTTAATATTGCTTTACTATGCAAATAGTTTGAGATTTTAGAAAATTAATAGATTAATACAGAAAGAGGTAAGAGCAGAGTTATAGGTGAGGCTAGTCCGAGATGGCTTGCTGCCTGGCACTGCTGCCTCACTGCAATTTTACCTACAGAAGCTGACTTGATGGGAACACCGGAGATGGGACTTCCAATCCACTTATCCAGACAGCAGCAGGCTGTCGTGAGCTAGGCGTCCCCTCCCGAACAAGACAGGCACTTCAGCACTTATTGGAAGAGTACCTGGCCCTCTAAAGGAGGCGGTAGTCCGGCTAGTCCTGAAGAAGGCATCACTGGATCCAGAGATGGTCACCAATTATAGACCAGTGGCCAACATCCCGTTCTTGGGCAAGGTGTTAGAATGGGTGGTGGCGGGACAACTCCAAGCACTCTTGGATGAGACTGATTATCTGGACCCATTTCAGTCCAGCTTCAGACCTGGGTATGGTACTGAATCTGCCTTGGTCGCCCTGTACGATGACCTGTGTAGGGAGAGAGACAGGGGGAATGCATCCCTGTTGGTTCTCCTGGACCTCTCAGCGGCTTTCGATACCATCGACCATGGTATCCTTCCGGATAGGCTAGCGGGATTGGGGGTCGGAGGCACTGCAAAGCAGTGCCTCCG